GAAATGGGGATGCAAATATATATAAAAAAAAAAGCCCAGGGACGGGAGAACAGAATGGAGAAAACAAAAACAAAGTAGGAAAAAAACCGTAACTGTGTCCTGTGTAGCTCAAATTTCCCACGTGAGAGAAGGCAGAGCACACAGACCATAAGAATGGCCATAGTGGGTCAGACCAAAGGATCTAGCCCAGGATCCTGTCTGCCAACAGTGGCCAATACCAGATGTCCTAGAGGGAGGGATCACAACAGGTAAACCTCAAGTGATCCCTCCCCTGTCAACCATTTCTAGACAAACAGAAGCTAGGGACACCATTCCTACACATCCTGGCTAATAGCCATTGATGGACCTAACCTCTATGAATCTATCTAGCTCTTTTTTAACCCTGTTCAAGTCCTAGCCTTCACCACATCCTCTGGCAAGGAGTTCCACAGGTTAACTGGGCACCGAGTGAAAAAAACCTTCCTTTTGTTTGTTTTAAGTCAAGCATGAGCAACAAAAACCCATTGACTACAGAGACTAAATATAACATTGACTAGAATAAGGCATACTGCGAACAAGTGCTCAGCCTGTCCCTTAGTTATTCCAATGCTGAGCATCTCCTAAGTAGACAACAAATCATCTCTAACTATGCCCAAGTGTATGGTGGTTTGGAGATATGGCAGGAGCTAAAAAAACTACCAGAAATGTAGTGACTTGAGCTACAACTGGACCAGAGGTGAAGACAAGTGTGCAAAAAAAGAAATTCCACCCCTCTCTCAGGCCTGTAGATACAAAGGTCAGTGGATGCAGAACTGGTGCACGTTCTGTTGTGCAAAAGGGCCTAATTTGTAGTGACTGCACTGGGGTGCAGAACCCCTCTGCGATGAGAAACTCAGCTCTGCATCAGTTCTGTACATACTTGCTTACTGGGAGATTTGAGACGGGCCTACAAGAAGCCTGGTGTTTCTGGTGACTCCACAGTCTGATGCTCTAAGTGTTTTGCCAGCAGTAACAGAAGCCAATGTTTTGTAGCTTTTGAACATCATAACTCCCAGCCCATCAGCTACATTACGAACAGCATGAATGTTGCATGCAGGATTTCATGGATAACTGTTCTGCCATCTCTGTTGGATGTTGATGCAGCCATCAGGAATACCTCCCAGGTACCAGGGTTTGGTCCTTAGCAGAATGTCTGCCAAGGTCCCCTCCTGTATCAGCCACCTTATTAAAACTACCAAAACTCTATCAAAAGTTACTATATTATAAGTTTGCTTCTTTCCTAGAATTCCAATATAGAACACTGGAAATTAAACCCATTTAGCATCTGGTTAATCACCGCATTACAAAAGCCCTCTTAGCAAAAGAAGCTATCTTCCTAGTAAAACTGTATAACGAACCCCGCTCCACACACACAAAAATGAGCATTCACACATTAATGTGAGTTCTCTCAAAAAGAACAAACATTAATTCATTTTCAAGCCACTTTTTAAAGATCATTTTATGCTAATTCTTTGTTTCCTGTTTTCAGAGGCCCTGACAGCACAGCATGGCTCTCTTCATTCTGAACATCAGCTGTTGAGCACCATGTAAGTTGTAATGTGGCAATTGGCACAGCAGGA